TTTTATTTATATTATATTTTCGTACATCAGAAATCTCAATGTTCAGTTTATGACGTACGTGATATGTATTTGTTTCATGAGTGATTAAAAAAATCAAAAGAATTAGTTTATGATACTGACAATTAGAAAATAAATTGTGTATTTGAAATAATATTTCAGAGAATGTAAGCTATTTATGTATTATTTATTTTATATTAAAAAAATATATTATATGTTTATATTAACTCCGTAAAAGTATATCAATATATTTTATATAATTCGTCATGATAGAACATACATCAAATGTGATATTCTGTAGTTAACGAAAAAAAAAATCCCTATTCAAAGTTGACACTTTTGATGATTTATTTGATAATTATGTTCAATTAATTCTAGTTAACTGAATTTTATTTTTTATTATTCATATTTATAAGTTTACTATAAACTATACTTTTTATCTCTTTTACTAGTTTACTATTATAAATATAACAACTATAAAAGATATCTTGATCATCAAAATTCATCTCTTTGGCAATATATCTTTGCATTTAATTTTTTTAAATGTTATTCATTGTTCTATTATAGTATAGTAGTTTTTATCATTATATTTTGATTTATAAGTTAAGTAATGCTATAGAACCTACTTGGGTTACAACATAAGTGTATATGCGTTATTTTTTAATTTTTTGATAATGCATTTATACTTGGGTTGTAACCCAGTTGTCATTCAAGTGGGCAAAATAGCATTACTCATAAAAGTATGATTTAAAATAGTTGTTAATCTTTACTTTAATAAAAGACACATTTTAACTAAAATATGTAGCTCATAATTTATAGATTCATAGTAAAAATAAAATTTGATATTATTAACATTGTTATTTTTTCTAATAAATTAATTATTGTGTTCAAATATTTTCATTCTAGCCATTAAATCTAAATATGAATAAAAATAATAAGAATAAAATAATAGTATGTTTTATATATTTTAATAATTTCTATTATGTCCATAAACTCACGTGCAAAATACATATTTTGTTTTCTTTCATATATCATGTGTTTCTTTTTATTATTTTTATTTCTTATCCATCATACTTGATTCTATTTTTTCGACAAAGACATCTGAGTAATTTTATATGTCATGTTATTTATTTCAAGTAAATTTTATATAGTTATGTTTAATCTACTTTGTTTACTATTATATGTAGTTATGTGATTAGTAATATAAAAAAAATATATATATATATATATAGCTTTTAGAATTGTAACAAAATTATATTATAATATTTTATACTTATTATTGTATGTTATGAAATTGCCGATAGTACTGTCCAAATAAATGTTAAGCCATAATACGGGTGAGGCCACGTAAATCACTTCTCTTGACATTAATTGGTTGCAATATGGACAGGTGGCATTTGGGCCATCACTAACATAGTTCATATAGCCATTATTACCATATTTAGGACAGCTGCACCCATAGAACGTTTTGTGATCAGCGGCCGAGAACGAGTATTATTATTATTATTATTATTATTATTAAAGATGGCGTGCACCAAAGTTGTCCACATTAATGGGCTTGGATCCTTTTAACAGATTTCATTATTCCTCCGCATTGTTTCTTATATACTACTACTACTTATTTGTGCTTGTCCGTTTGGGAATCCTGTTTATTAGGGCGTGTTTGTATTCAAATATATCCGCTCAAAACTAGTGTTTTTAATTAATTATAATTAATTTTGAAAAGAATGATAAGGTCACTTATTAGTGGGGTTTTGAGTTTCTATTAAAATAAAATATTTAAAGTTGATTTGATGTAAAAGTAGGAGAGAGATGATATACATAGAGTATAGTCAGTTAAAATTAATTGAGTTGATGAATAGCGAATTAAAGTTGATTGAATGTGTAAGAATAATTAGTTGATATTATTTAATTATATTGATAATATTGAAGATAGTGGAGATTGAGTTAGAGTTGAATTAGATTTTGAGTATGAATTGAGTGAATTTATATACCAACACACTTAGTTTTCTAATTATGAAATCTATGTTTTAGAATTTTCAGCAGTCCATCTCACCGTTTTCTAATTACAACCAAAGTACATGTGCATCGCAGGGTACATAAGTTATATTTTAATATAATTTTGAATTATATTTCTTTTTTATATTTTTATGATCTATTAAATTTTTTACATTATTATTTTTTATTAATCAAACAAAAGGAGTACATTACATAATGAATTCCGTCAAATATATTGAAAGTTGAAAGACAATTTTTAAAATAATAATATTTAAAAGTCATGGTGAAAATGATTGCAGAAAAATTGGTTGATTATCGAAGTTAGTTTTGTTTATTCCAAATCTTTTTGCTTGGTGAAAATTGAGAAATATGCACAGTAAAATTAAACTAAATTTTTTAACAAGACTAGTTGCATGTGATATTTTACAATCTTGTCTTCTTATCTTGTTGAAGAAGACAACTTTTTGTCATTTTTTTTTTTACTAAATAAAAAAGATATAATTCAACTGATATATGTTAGGAAAGTTTCTTTTTTAATATGATAATTCAATTTGAGTGTAGTATACCTATTAGAATGTTTAATCTTTAGGTTTGTCTAACAATTTTACTGATATGTTTAATTTTTTTATTATATTGTATTTTATTATAAATATAAACAAAATATTAAAAACAGAAACACGTGTTAGAGTATCTTTAAAAATTTTGTTAACTCATTTTTATATTATTACGCAACCTTTATTAGTTTCACAGAGAATCACATCTTTTGGTTAAAAATCTATTTATTTAATTTATATTATAATTAATTTATTAATTGGAAATAATTGATCTATTATTTAAAATTTATAATAGACCATAGTGTCCAAGCTGAATAAGGAACTGCTTTTTGATTCTTGTTGTAATGTTCTGGCTAGTGATGTTTTATCTTTTATTGAACTCTTTTTTTTCTTTATTTTTGTTTTTTGGTTCTTGAAGTTTGGTTGTAGTTTTTCTAATTTGTTCATGTTTGACTCTTTTGAGTCTTTGAGTTGTAAGGGGTCGTCGCGAGTGATGCTCCGGTGGATTTGGAACAATCAGTTGATTGTTCAGTGTGTACTTTTATTTGAGGTGGTATATAGTTGATTTGATGTTGGAAAAAAAAATAGAAAAATCAAAATTTGTTGGAAAGTTCAAGTTGGATGTTATCAAAATTTAACATGGTTAAATTTAAATTTAAGTCCCATTTATCAAAATTTAAATTTAAATTGTAAAATTAAAATACTAGTAAAGGTTTAAAGTATGTACCCATCATTAAATGGATGGATGTCAATTGGGATTGGGTTTAGTTAAAATATTATTGGACGTTGGGGAGTTAAAAGGAAATGAAGTTGGGCTTAATTAAAATATTATAAGTTAAAGTATCAATTAAGTTGAAATATATTGAATTAAAAAATAATATTTTAATTTATAAAATGTTAATTAAGTTGTCTATGTATCTCTTATATTGTGAATTAAAGTCATCGTAGTTCTCTTACCTTACTTACCGTGATGAAAAAATATAGCATAATGCGTTCAATGTTCTCGTCGTCGTCGTTGTCTTCTGTTCCATCGATTCTAGTAGTGGTACTGGTACTAAAAATCACCCGGCTCTTCATCATCCTCTTCGATTATCATGGTCGTTTGTGCCCTTCTTTTGGCATTCTTCCAATCTCTAGCAACATATGAACCTCAAAGCTGTGTTGTGTTAACCTTGACCGTCATGCATTTTGAATATATCATATTCATCGCTCGCTAAATGCTTGTTCAACCGCCACAGTTGAGGAGATGATAACAAAAATCTCCTTGGCAATCAAGCATGGAATATGATATATGGTCTTTACTTATTAACACCAATCCAAGACATCGAATGAGAGTGGCGCTGTAGATGGTATGGCCTTAGTAAGTCTGAGACCCACGGTCAAGAAGTGATCGAGTATATCATATCCAGTCCCTTTATTTCTTGCAATCACAATATTTTTGAAGGGATTGAATGATAAAACCCAATCTTGGAAGTTTGTGCAAACTCCGTTGTTTGTTGAGAAAAATGGAAAGAAAATGACGCTAGATTTTTTCAAGCCCAACTGTTTTTTCATTAAATAAGTTATACAACAAGGATTTTACTTGCTCGACGAGCAGCCGTGTGTTAGGCCTTTCAACGATAGGAATAACATCATTAGAAAGTGAGAGTTGATACATAACTTCAAAAAGTGTGAAGTTGGTCAAGCAATCCATTTTCACATATTGACGAATCTAACAAATTCGCAATTAAAAATGTGTCCGGAATGTAAAAAATATTTTAACCATTTTCGCAACATATCATTTACAAGGTCACAATGTTGTCCTCTCTATCACTCCTTATCTCATTTGCTTCCTTTACCTTACATCGTGCAAAGAGTCATTATGAGGAACGGAAGAACAGCTTCTTCTCAACCTCCCTTTGGGAAGTAAGGAAGTATGGTAAATAGCCTTTTTTTCTTTTCTTATTTCTTGCCCTGAGCTCTATCAATTTTCAGAACACTAACAAATAAATTTATAATTCCCATTATCACGGCTACACATTAAACATCGCGGGACATCTGTATGTACCATAGGCATCGGCAATGGATGACCACTCGTAGATGCTACAACTTTTTGCTTTGGTGGTCGTCTACTTAGAGAACTCGACATTTTTGTAACTTTAAAAAAGCTAACTAGTAACAACCTAAAAAAAGTACGAAAATGAGATAGTATTTATAGGAAAATAATATGTTTATTTTTTTTAAAAAGATTCGGTAAAAGGTTCAGGGCGAACCGACAATTCAAACGAGTCGGCTCAATATGCTTTGTTNAAAATATTAACTTTTCAAGTTTCGGTGTCAAACCTTCGATCCTTGAACTTGCAGTTCCATTTTCTTTTCATAAAAATGAACTGAAACCGGCCTAAACCAAACACGATTCCAGTTCACAAACCGTGGTCAACGGTCCAAACCGGTTTCAAACCGTTGACCACTGCCCAATTCAGCCCGGCCATGACTACTTTGGAATAATTGGCAAGACATGTACTCCATCTGTCTCCATGTGTATAGAATTATTATAAATTTAGAGTTGAATAACAGATGCATCCCACACAACACATGGAAATGCTCCTTTTCGGAGACGTAATGTGATGGGCACAAAATTAAATACATTTAGAAAATTCAAATTTACATGGAAAAACACAAATAGCTCACAGCGCATTGTTTAACTGTATAACTACAGACTAATCAAGATAAACAAAACTGCTTCCCACATTCCTACAAAGCCGACTAAATTACATACAACGGTTTTCATCTTCTAAACCTCAATCTGTACGGTGTTTATATAGGGAACGCAAGAAAGTAACTACCTACTTACACAATCTTTTTGCCGGAGTTTCAGGTTTGGGTTTGATTACCTACTTACGCAATCTTTTTGCCGGGGCTTCTGGTTTGGGTTCTACCTGTCATGATAGGAACATTGTCTGTCAGAGAACATTGAGGATTAGCTAATTACGAAAAAGTTTATCCATTTGAAACATTAAGCGGGTGTTTAAAGGAGTAACGACCAGGGGTATTCAAAACCGAAATTAAAATGAGGTTTAGCATGCCATGTGAAAACTGAAAAGGGTATTATTCCATATCTATAACTCTCTTAAATCTATGTCTATAACTCTAGTTTCTTGAGAACTTTTGAATTGCCAAAAATACCCTTATTGAGGATAATTACTAAGCTACATCTAAATAAAGTTGATTAGCTTCCAATTAACAATAAACTAGTACAACACCCGTGTACTACACGGGTATTGAATTAAGAAATATTGACATCAAAATATTTAAAGATAAACATAACAATTTTATTTTAATTTTTTTAATGTCGTCGCCATTATTTTTCGTGATGTATAATCTCTCACCAACTCAAACAAAAAAAGAATGGTATAAATGGTTTATTTTATACATGGTAGTATAAAAATATTGAGATGTGTGAATAAAATTATTTATGGCAATAAATAAATAATTCATTTCAACATAAAGCTTTGTCAAAGACACAAGGGGATGTGGCTAACAAATAGAAACAAAATATATACAATTTACTCTGTAAACTTAAATTTTATTTTGTTACAATTTCATTTCGTCCAGCAAATGGATTTGCCATACTCGAGAATTAAATTTCATGAATACAATTCATTTTGTTTAATAAACTAAATATCATTTTGTATGCATAAGAGATATTATTTCATTTTCAGCCCCAGTCGTATTAATGTTGATTAATATTAAATTTATGTGAGACAATAAATAAATTGTAATGAAAGAGAGATTTAAAGGATATTGATTAATAACAAATTTATTGGAGGCAATAAATTTATGGTAATGAAAGATAAATTTATAAGGTAAGATGAAATAATTATTTATGGTTGATTCCAACCCAATTATGTTTCAAAAAATTTTATCCGAACCTAAATACAAAGCAAAATATTTTGACACGGATGATTCCAAAGCGTGTGAGCCTGCCACTTAGGCTTAACACGTTTTGAATTAATATATAGGGGGGATAATTATCATTACGCGGGAACAAATTTGTCATTCTTCATAAGTATGAAACAAAAGGAAGATATTAGGAAACTACATAAAAGAAGATATTAAGGAACTATATAAAAGAGCAACCATGATCATCATTTCAAACAGTGGTGAGGATACCATTAATTAACAAAATCAAAGACGGCTGGAGATTTCTTCAGTAGTCAAAATTTCATTAAAAAAAATGAGTATTATATTCAGCATTCAAAATATTTTTTATTGTTTATCATGAAATATATCCTATTTTGCCAAATTAACGGGAAGATGATTGAATTATACTATAAGTATAATCCAATAGTAAACAGAATTTTAAATCAACAAAATAATTAATAGCATCAGGTGCATGGCACGTGCATCTTCCTAGTGCAACTGAAATGTCTGAAATTACTCGGAGTAAATTTTTACTTATTCCTTATATATTCATGTAATCCGGACTTGTGGACACATCTATATTCATAGTCCTTATGTGACTGAAGTTGAGGACAAAGATGTCGAATGTATAAGACACAAGGGCTTACCGCATTTGATAGTTGCTCACGGATGTACGCCATTGATCTCAACATGGCGGCTAAAGTGTCCCTTGACAACTGAAATTTCACCTCTGATTCTACTGAAGTTGTCACTGGGTCTTGAAGCTGAACAGCCGATTATATAAAAGAAAAATTGGGAATTATAGCTTCAGAAGAAAGAAAAATAGGATATTTTGCAGCAACAAAGAAATTTGGCAGAATTACAGTTCCCAATCCCCGTCCTCTCTCTCTCACTCCTTTACTTTTTTATTTTTTCTGTTTTCACTTATTTATTTGGTTGTTTAATAGTGCATTTTTACACGTTTTCATCTAATGGCAATACCTCATCAGCGTGTGTAAAGGATCCACACATAATTCTAAGAAATTTACCAGCTACTAGGTGACAAAAGCTAATTATGTGGAAATATAATTTAGTTAAAAATAACATTCCAATCCACTATAAAAGCAGATAAAGTAAAAAACCACACCCCTTTCAAGTTCTAGATTTCTCCATATCGGTGATCATTAAGGACCAATCATTATAGGAAAAGTTTTGCCATGACGATGAAAAAGAGTGGCTCCAACAAGAGTATGCAATTCCAACATGAAGATACAGTTATCTAATTGAAACTGATTGTTAAATACATGAAACCATAAACCTTCAAGTTGATGATTGCAACGTTACTAGCAGGTGCTGTGAGCTGATCAGTGATGTATGCCATAGACCTCAGCATGGGCTCCAGTGTGGCCCTCGATAGTGAAAATTTTACCTCTGATTCTACTGGAGGACTCTTGCTGTAATCTTGTAACTGCATAATCAGTAAAAGAAAAGGTAAATCTACAGCAAGAACCACTTCCAACTTATAAATCCAAATTTCTGTGTGCATTGTGTTAGTAGGAAAACTTGGGAAAGGAAATATAACATATTGTGAAAATTAATATGATATCTCGAAGACAACTAACAAAGTACCACCAGCAAAAGAAAGATGGAGAAGAAATATAAGGAAAGTAAAATAGAAAAAGAACAGCGGTTTACTACTAAGCTTGAAAAAAAAATAAAAAATCATCAAAATTGTACAAGAGGCACATACCTTAAGGTTAATAACAGCTATCTTATTAGCTGTAGTCGAGTTCTTATTCTCCATAATCCAAGTCATCGATTTAAGACAAGGAAGGACTGGCTGCAAACAAGAAAAAGTGAAACGAGAGATTAACATCTTCATGCTTGGAAATTCTCCAAATCCTGAAACAACCTAAAGAACATTATGCTTACCACTTTATCAGCACGACCCGCATCGCAGTTAATAGAATGTGGGGCCACACGTATAGCAGCTGCATCAGAAACAGAACGGAAAACCCCAGCATCATTAAGATTAAAGCGCGGGGTAATCTCATCTTGCCTTGGCCATAGCAAAGGGGTCGTTTCTGGATTTCCTGTATTTGTCCCTTTGTCATCACAACCAACATTCGCCACACTCTTTTTAACACCACCAACTTTCTTTATTCCCTCTCGAACACTAGCAAGTGCCACATTATACGTCTCTTGTGTCACAGCACCTTCCATCGCAAATCTAATTGCTTCTTTGCATAAATTATTATACCTTTCCGTAAGAGTCTCACGACCCTGTGGTTCAAGCTGAGCTTCGCTTTTGGCATTTCTAGTCCACCGGTTTAAGATGTAATGGGATGGCAAGGTGAGTACGTTAGTCACAGTAAAAACCGTCAGAACATGTCTACATAATATGCCCGAATACTCAAACATCATACAACTACAATTCGCTTTCATTTCCACAATATTCAGTGACACGAGATAGGATTTGCGGTCGTCCTCGAATTTCGCCACCCTGTAGGTACAGTTATCTCCATCTCCGTCCACTCTATTCGCGGTGTACACGAATGTCTCAACCAGCTCCTCTTGAAATCTCGAGAATACCCTTTTCGTGTAAAAGTCAGCTGCCTGTTTTTCCATAGGCGAAGGCGTCCTCAGCAGTGGGGTTGTACACATCGTGTCGAAATCGGCTTCAACTTCCCTCTCGAACGAGCTTTCCAAAGCACGTTCATACTGTCTAAAGAACATAGGCAGAGTTGTTTGACTATTTACATAGCCGTCGAAAAATGAGCGATTGGGTCCCACACCAGGCAAGGTAGCAAAGAAAGAGTCTCGAAAGTAGACGGGCGCCCAACGCTTACGGTTACTGTATATAGACCGAAGCCACTCATTATTCTTTAGGTCATACTTTTCAACAATCGACTGCCAACACGACTCGAATTCCTCAACCTTCTCGGTGTTGTTGATGCAGTTATAGAGATCAACCTGAAATTTCGGATGAGCGAAGCATACACGGTCCATTCTTTGCTGGCCTTCTCTGAGAACGTGCCATTTGTTGATACAATGGCGGGCCCGCGGAAAAACCTGGGATGCCGCATCTCGTATGGCTCCGTCATCATCTGTAGTAAAGGAGACGGGCTCCCGATTGTTCATAGCGGCAAGAAATGTCTTGAATAGCCAAATGAATGCAGCTTCAGATTCGTCAAAAACCAAAGCACAGCCGAACAAAATTATCTGGCCATGGTGATTCACACCCGTGAATGGAGCAAACGGGACCTTGTATTGGTTTGCTCTGTATGATGTGTCCAAAATAACAGCATCCCCAAAATGACCGTAAGACGCCCTCGATCTAGCATCCGCCCAGAATGCATTCGTCATGTGGTTCTCGTCATCGAGATGTATGGCGTAGTAAAATCCTGGATTCTCAGCCTGCATCTTTTTGAAATAATCGAGAACATTCTGGGCATCCCTGCCCAGTATTCTCCTCTGGCTGGAAAAATCTAAATTATTTGATCCTGCTGAAAAATCATATCCATCCACGGATACATACATAACGCCATTTGGAACCACATCTACGCCCATGGTCGCAAAATGCCGCTTGAGCTGGATGCAATGCAACTTGTTATGGTTTAGGGTTGGGTGATTGTGCTCCTTCACGAATTTCGTCACGGTCCATTTGTTTTTGCTACTCAGCTCGATTCTGAGCATTGCCACACAGGCTCCCTTTTTAAACCTGTCCACGGAACACGAAAATTCACGGCACATTTCCTTGCCATTGGACTTTGACCGTTCATGATGGACTTGAGGGGCGAAGCCCAAGTGTCTGGCATAATCTTCATAAAAAATTTTGGCTGCCTTTTCGGAATCAAATTCCATTCCGACATGTGGCTCGGGAAATATCCCGCTGTCACCTAGATTTGTAGAGTTTCTGGAAGAAGCATCCATTTTTCAACCTATGTTAGAATCATAGGCACTGCAAATTGTGATGCCCCCAATGATCACGATGTCCCATGTTCCAGAATTCAACTCCAATCTATTGAATGTCCATAAGAATACCACTATTTAACCTGACATTGCAAAGTTTAATCACCTTGAGGACACTAAGAGCATTCTGCATTCTCTCTACATCTTTTTTCTACACATCCTGAATCTGCATGCATTTTTCAACCTTCAGAAGCTCATACAAATGATGATTGTGAGGTGAAGTGCAGAACTACACTAATGCAACCACTGTTCATAAGCATGACATAAATATGAGACTTAGAGGGACCCAGAACCATTATCGTATCTGTTTTAAGCCTAAAAACGAATAAGCTTTATATCTTTTAAACTCAAATAAAAATTGACAAATAAATTCCTCCTTTCCAACTGCCTCTCAGAATGTTCATGCAATAAACCAAGTTCTGCAGCTCAAATATATTTCTAATTCAAACCATAACTGCCAAAAGAAATTATGGTGAAACAAGAAACCTTCTCCAGCACGTCAAAGAGAGACAGACAAGACGGCTCATTAATGCATGATTATGTCGAAATTTTCTGTTTATAATTTTTTTTTTTTCAGACGGATGATTATATACGCTGAGTACGCGGAATTTGATAGAAATTACCTTTCAATTAACAAAGAAAGCAGGGTGAGTGGTCGATTCGGGACAATTCTAAGTTGTAGGGTTTATGCTTTCCGGTACGACGACGTTCGGAGGGGCACCGGCGACGTTGCAGAAAAGAAAGGGGGAAAGGCAGATAAAAATGAGTGCGTGTCTCGTCTATGCGGATTGACCTTAGTGGACGCCTGCATTTGTCACCGTCGATTTGGATCTAACGGCTGCGATCACTCCAAAGAAAATCCAGAAATATGCCTTACAGTTGTATCGATGGTTGATATGTGTAGGCCCCATTGGCGTGTGGCTCATGTGATTGGGACTTATGTATAATTTGTAAATCTGTTGGATTAATAACTTTATTAGCAATGTTGACTTAAGAGTTGATTACATTCATTAACATTTCAACTAGTACAAGTCCCGTGCAAATAGATATTTATTAATATTTATAGTAAAAAATTCTTATTAAATTTTACCAAAAAAAATTCTTATTAAATAATATTTATAAATTTAAAATATGGAATCAATATGTAATACAATTTACTTATATTAATTTATTGAAAGTATTATATAAAGTCTAAATTGTGCAAAATTACATAAAAATGTCTATTTAAAATTAGTATACAACCCGTGTGGTGCACATAACTGATAATAAATTACATTATATTTGTTTCAAAATAAGTACCATTCGAAAATTTTGATTCAAAAAATCGATTTGACTATATGTGATTCCATAAAATAGTTATTTTGGTAAAATGTTATCATATATTTAACAGTCTATGTGAATAATAAGTATAAATATAAAATTTATATTGTTTCATTACTTCAAATAATTTATTATTGTATAAACTATTAAAATAAAAAAAAAAAATTAAGTAGTTGAGTAATTTATTAAATTATAAATAATTGACTATTTCGTTTACGTCCAAGTTAATATTGACCCGTAAGTTATATAATTGACTATTTCGTTTATGTCCAAGTAAATATTGTCCCGTAAATTATGAATAATTATTTTTTATTTTTAAATTTAAATAAAAATCTTTTTATTTTTTTGTAATATATTATATACTAAATTTAAACCATGTAACTAATAAAGGTAATAGCTGCAAGTTTTGTCAATATATTATATTCCAAATTTAAATCATGCAACTAATAAAGGCAATAGCCGCAATATCTGACCAAAATGATTATGTATATTAATTTAGGCGGGATTTTTTCAAATTTTGACAAAAAATATTACTCAAATAGTTTAGGCGGGAAACCAAATGTTATTTTACCTCTTTTTAATAAAAAGAGATTTAGATTAAATTAAATTTATACGTGTGGAGTGAAAAACAATAAACATAAGTAAAAAGATCTCTATATGATTTGTATAATGGTGAACCGTTGGCTTTTTATTTATATGTATATAAAAAGATGTACATTCCAAATAATTAAGTTTAGTTATCGCGAAGTCCTCTTCATCGTTTTTAGGGTAGATTTATTATATTTATATGAATAATATATCCAGCATAATTGTATTTTTAAAGATAATAAATCGATGAAAACATAATATGGAATATATACCTTTATCATTAGTCTCGACCAATTTGATTACTTTATCTGTATAACTTTGAAATGAACTCTTTACAATGTATTTGTTTTTTTTAATTATTATTTAAGTTGTATATATTGCATAACTATATGTTAAAAAAATAATATTTTTCTATTGAAATATGCGATTTATATATATGTATATAAAAACTTATAAATTAATTTTTCAATAAAGATTAAATTTTGTATTTTTATTTTTTATTATAGCATTCCCATTTAAAAAATTGTTACCATGATTAGTGTAAAAAACTTAACAAAATAATTGTCACGTGTAAAAATATTAATAAAAAAATAAGGTTTTCATGATAATGGATTTGTATATATCTAAATCATCTTTTCCTGCAATACCGCAACATCCGTCCGCAGAAACGTGTTCATAAGAGAAGAATTAACTCAAAAACTGAATTTAACCAAATAAATTACAAACTCATTTCCTTTTTTCACGGCTAATTATCTTAAACAATTACTCATTTGATGGATGATACCATAATTTAAACTCGGCTTGATTACCTAAAAAACAGGAAATAAAAAACAGATCGGTAGACATATGAAAATGTGATTTGTAGATAGGTGAGTTTAGTCAAACAAAATCTTATATATATATACAAATGAAATCCAAATCCCAAAAAAACTGAAAACGTGCATGCATGGAATAAAAACAATTCAAATACCTGCATGGCAAAATTTCAAATTAAATTGTAGGGGAGAAAACAACTTTTAAGCGGAAAATTGAAATATTTTTTCAAACATTTTTTCTTCTCTGTATTTTATAGTAATAGATAACTAGACGCTGTATCCCATCTTTCATCTTTGTATTTCTTGGTTCTTATTATCAGGCTTTTGTATTATTTATCAAAACTAATGTCTATAACGCTGCGCTATTTAATTTATAGTTTAAAAAAAATTTAAAAGTAATAACAAATTTATTTATTTCATTTTTTTAGAAATACATTATTTATTTATTTATTTAAAATGACAGCAATCATCCGTAAGCCTCGTTATTTTATAGTAATGTTTTAAAAACCATATAATACACTGTTATTCACTTATTCCTGATAGATAGATTTGTTTGATAAAAATAATAATTTCATTATTTTTCAACTAGAATTGATACATAAATTAATTCAAATTCAAACAGATATATACATGAAATTCGGTGAAGAAAATTACCGTAAATATTATCTCGCTACAAGACAGAGTTGATGAGAAGAAACTTGTGAAAGATTGCTCAATAGACTTGCCAATCTGAAGCATTTACGTAAGTGTTAACTAACCCCCTGACCTCCCAAACACACAAAAAAGGGGGAGAAAAAACCATTTATGTGCCCAGAAAAAGTTCAGTGTTGAAAAAGGTCCTGTAAATCGAGTATATCAGCAAGAACACCAGCAGCAGTAGTGTCATTGCCTGCCCCAGCACCTTGAATCACCAGTGGCTGCTCTTTATAGCACCGGCTGTATATCTCTAGCTGCAATATTTGTACGTGCATTATTGAAAATAATCTTCGAATTTTGGAAAGAACTACATGATTATTAAAAAAACAAATTCTTGTTTCTCGAGGATTCTGTGCCATAATGAGATTTGCATTTATTGGGACAAATGACCCTTTTGGGGATGCAATTCGTAAAATAACCACAAATGTGAAGGTATGAATGTAAATTTTACAGTAACTGTTCTATTTCATTTTGAAAGAAACCAAAAACTTCCGGTAGTTTTCGTGATTAATCATAAGTTCAGCAAAAGATTATATTATGGTCCAAACGTGTGTTTTATAGTATTTAGAGATTAGGACATGAGGGCTAAAGGTACAAATAAAGATATAGTGCTTACCACATTATCACTCCCCTTCAATCTACCGAGGGCTGAATCCTTTGCGACTTCTTGTATGCCGACTTCACACCTAAAGATGTTTAACAGGCAGAAAATTGATGCAGAATATCAGAGGCAGAATCAGTAACTACTAGTACACTTTTACCAGTGCACATGCACGGATGACGTCAATTTGATTATACTTAGCATTAAATAAAGTTTAGAATTAATATCATAGAAAACTGAATTACTAAAGTTTATGAAAATCTTCGTTATAAACGACATTATATATTTGTCGATTGGTCCTCTCTTTATAACAATATATTTGTTTTTCTTTGATTGGTTATTTGTAAAACTACCAGTTGGTTACACATTGTCGAACTTCCGTTCACCAGTACACTACATATTAAACTAGTACATTACAAAGACACACAACTTAAATACTTAATAAACATGGCTCACAAGAAAAACGAGAAATTATACATTTAAAATATTAGTTTTATACATCACTTCTAATCCAACTATTAGTTGAAATTTTTCTTTTAAGTTTATATTTTAGTTTAATATTTTTAAGATTTTGTTTTATAAGGGAAAAACAAATCAAAAATGCATTCACCAGAGGCATATGTGGTATTTATATTTTTTTTCTATTAATTTCTGAAAGTATTAATAAAAAAATGTCATTCAATAAAAATGTTGAAAATTTATATTCAGAGTGGAAAAGTGAATAAGTCAATTCAACTAATGTTGATCTAAAATTAAAAATAAGTTATTAAAAATAATCCTATAAATATGATAATATAATTTTTAGTTTTATATATCCACTATGCGTGCTATATAAAAAATTACAAAAAAGTAATTAATTGATTACATATGTTCAAATTTGATAAAAAGACAATAATTGAATTTTATGTATATCAAGACACTTATTTATTTAGTAATATAAAAGGTATAAAATGTTTTTTACTCTAACTATATACTATTTTATTTAATAATACATTAATATAGTATCAAACGGCGCAATGCACCTTGGGTCGCCACGGAAACAGCCTCCTTGTATAATTACAAGGGTAAGGTCTGCGTACAACTGACCCCCCAGACCCCAACCTGTTGGGAATATACTGGGTATGTTGTTGTTGTTGTTGTAATATAGATATATATTTATGAAGTGTCTTCTCACTAACAATATATAGTTATATAAAAAAATTGATGAAAACCAAAGGTTATTAATTTTCAGTAAAATAATAGTATTTCTTATTAGTTAGATATATATATCAAATCATCAAAAGCCCAACAATCCTACGCTATTTTCAAACTTTGGCTTATTATTAAACATAGTAATTATTTTAATATTATTTTAAAACTTATAATTAATTTACGATAGTTTAATTTATAGTTAATTATGGCAATCCCCTTTATATATAATTTCCGAATGTGTTGAATCTAAGTGGCAGACTCGCATGGTTCGGAATCCTATGTGGCAAAATTCCATGCTTCATTTTTTGGTTTGGATAGATTTTAATTTACTTACAGTACAAAAATAATTAGGTCTGGATTATCCCATAAATATGTTGATTATTTATGCTCATGTTACATGTATTAATTGCATTTTAATATCATTTCTTATTATAACCATTAAATTGTAAACATATTTTAATGTTAACAGCTTTTGTATTTTTTATCAATTTTACATATATAATAAATCATATTAATCATCTCTTGATGAGCTCGATTTGACTATCCATATTGTATGTGTCAAATAAATAATTATATTTATCTTTATAACAATAATAAAGTTATTCGTTAATATTAATTAGAAAAATAAAATTATTTAATAATTAATATATATATATATATATATATGTTTCAAGTAGTTATATAATATAAGTTAATAAAAATTATTATAATATTACACATGTAAGTCGCACATGTAACAAATATCATTAATAATATACAATTTTTGTAAAAAAGGTATTTAAATTTTTAAACACTTTATCTCATTAATTTTAAAAATTAAGAATAATTTTTTTAATAAGCATCCTTGTGTTACACTGGTGTTGTAGTAGTCTGAATATAATTATATTTGTATTTCAATTTACATATGTATCTTATAAGAATGATAGAATGTTGGTTTCCTTTCCAATAGGCTTTGATTTTTAATAGGTACATAATTTCCAAATAAAGTAATAATATTTGGAGGGAAAAATTAATGTCTATCTATAGACTTTATTCTCTTTATTAATTTATAGATATAGATATAGATAGGGTTGTATTTTAATTTCATATTCGACTATAACAATTGTATGAGATATAAACGAGTTACCTGGACTTCTCAATCAAACAAACATAACGCAAAACATTTCCTTTTGAACCAGCATTATCTACCCGTTTTTGGATATCTTTATCAATCAATGGAAGCCCATTCAATAAAAATTCTTCCAGTGGCATCACATCAGGTCCCATGTCCACAGGGAACAAGCTTTCGACCTAAATACAACACTTAAGGTTAAACATAATAACTCAAGTGACATTACTCAATAAAGGATGCAATTGCTTTAGGCACACTATATAAAACTTAACCTTAATACTGTCCAAGTTGATGCGGTGCCCAAGAAGTCGAGCTAGGATCAGCGCCTATATTTCAGAATTTAAATAAAAAGGTCAACATCTCTACTTGATTATTAGTATCACACATTTTTCTAATCATAAATGCTTTTAACTTAATAGTTATAAAACTATCACCTTAAAATCGAAAGGTTTAGGCAGGAACTCTACAAAATTCAGTAGATAAAATGTACATACCTTTCTAGCTACATCCATCCCACTGAGATCATCCCGTGGGTCTGAGGAAAATATTAAAATTTTAAAGTGAGTATATTAAGCTCAAGAGTTATTCAACTCTAAACTAAGAAGTAAGAACATGAATGCACATAATTTTATTTTTGTTTTTCCTTTAGATATGGGTCAAATGGCACTGAAACAAATGAAGATCAACGAATAAATGTCCAGTGACGTGTCCAAAAGTCAGAGGAACTTATGTGTCATCACAATAGAATCACGGAATGGTTCAATAACACAGAACTTAATTTATTTTTTACATTTATCAGTGCTACATGTAAACTTGAAAAAACTCGAGGCTGACTAGGAATATTACTATAGCAACATTTGAACTAATTACATTACCAGGTTCAGTGTATCCGAGGTGTTTTGCAGCATTGACTACTTGGCTAAAGGGCCTTCCACTTTCAACCTCACTCATCACATAGCCCAGCGTACCTGATATCAGAAGCATGAGACTTGCAAAACCCGGGCATAACGTAAAAATGGAAAAAGAGAAGAAAGTTAATGGTAAAGCATGTAACAAAGTTTACCACTTAAACTTCCCAGAATGCGGGAGATAGGGTCTCCTGATGAAAGGATACGATTTATAGTTGAGATGACTGGAAGACCAGCACCAACCTATCATGTAAATTGTTAAATAAAATAGTTATCCTCCCCCGAATTCACAAGGCAGGTCAGACAATACATACAGGCTGATTGAAAAGGTAACAGGAATGAGCTAAATACATAGCAAAACTCATGCGTGGATAAAGCAACACAAAACTCTTGATCCAAATAAAATCACTAGATTAAGATGCAGCTTAAATAAAGTAAAATTTTCAGGTTTCAGGAACAAAGGGGAAAAATATTTGATAGCCATGTAACACCTTGTGGTTATCTAATGTATATGAAGGTTTAAACACAGGAAGATCGTATAACCTGCTGATAAGGCATTTCATTTTCATCGTATAAAATCAATGCTCGTGAAACAAAGGACTCAATAACACTTACGGTTGACTCGTGTCTAATCCGCCTATGTCGTGAGACCAGCTTGTCATAATGTTCCTGCATATCATGAGGAGCACTGTTACATTACCACTCATGGTGTAAGAAATTATATCCCTTAAGTAATAAAATTGAAAAAGTTGACGTGAATTTTATCAATGACGGCAGAGCTCAACCATCAGTCATGATCCCACAATTTTAGCTCAAAATCTTATAGCTTTATCCAAGAAATAATAGTTTCAAAAGCATAGATGTAAAAGAATCAATTTACCAGTGGAGATGTAAGAGGCTTCTTGTTTGCCAGAACCACGCAACAATATAAACTCACAACTTGATTCAACAACGAAATAGTTTCAGAGCTGGCTGAGCAGTCAACAACCACCAATCCTGTCACAATTTACTCATAAATTGTGATGCTACTTTGAATTTGAAACTTAAAAGTAATTTATGGAACCAGAGAATAACAAATGTTCGTTATGCATATACGTAGTGAAATTCTTGCAAGGGTTGAGAAGGCAGGCTCAACAAGTGACAATGACTGAAATATCACAAGGATCATAAAACTGTATCATACCACTAGATTTACTAAGTGTAGCAGCAACATCCATGATTTTCCTCTCGATTTGTTGACCCAAAACCACTTCACACTCACCTGCACTTTCACGGAGAAAACAACATGACTCCTATGCAACACATCAGTAAAAGACTAACTGGCGCATTTCGGCAAACAGCAAATGGACGCAAAATGGAACGTACCAAAATCAGCAAGCTCCGAAAAAGAAGATCCACTGGACTTGACTTCGCGAAGTCGCAGCAAAAACTCATCATCCAATTCGGAAATTAGAAAATCAGTTTTGACCAGCATGGATTTACTGTCGCACACTCCCACCACCCTCAGCCTCACCCCCTGTAATATATTCGACCACCATAAAAAATAGAAGGAAATCGACACAACAAAAAGGCCGAATTTGATTAGATTAAATAAAAAACGGTGAAAAGAAAAGAACCTGTTTGGAATGGAAGGTACGGCAGGAGACGATGTGGTGGAGGAGCTGGCGGCCAACCCCGCCGCAGCCCATCAGCAGCACTGGCATGTTCACCATTTTTCTCGCTTTAATTTCTTTCTTTTCGTTTTGATCTTTTCCAAATTTTTCAATCGGTTGGGTTTGTGTTTCTGATTGAAGATCGTTTTNACCCCGCGAGTGAGCGCTGGTTTCAATGAAACTATTTTCTCTTTGCCCCTCGACAAGATATGCATATGACAAATTGCTCCCAACAAGATTGCTGCAATCGGATTATCAGAACCAACTCTCTTTAGAGCATGTTTGTTAAGGGAGACGGGACAAGATTAGGGTGATTATCTGGCAAATTATCGACGTTTGATTATCATAATTACGGCTTGGGAGATATGATGAGGCCCGCGATGAACAATAGAAAAATCCTGCTTTCGACTGATTGATTGATCTGGCCTAGGGGATGCAATTCGTACAAGTCTCAACAGTTGAAGAATTAACAATGTCTCATTTGTCCCTAGAAGTGATTTTTTCGGACTAAAGTGTCCCCCTTCAACAGAAAATATAAAGCATGCCACTACCATGTACATAAAGGCAACAGTTGACATTAATTGACCTTCTATTGCAGTGAAGAGCTTCGTTCCCCGGCCACGCGTCTTGAAATCTAGATCTGCTTGTGAAATCGCCTGTTCGGGTGAAGTTGTTGGTTTCCTCTGTATCTCTCGTGCACTGTTACATGAGATCTCCCTCTATTTTTCTT